CAGCTTGTCAATAACATGGACCCCTGTGGAGGAAGGAGGAGTCAGAGAACTAATTACTTTTATTGCAAATGGTATTGTAAAGCATCAAGCTATTTTGCTTGGAAGAGCAGAAGCACCCAAAAAGAAAAGAGTAAGTTCCTTTTTCTGTTTTATTCTCCGATGTAAGCTCTAGCTTAATAAAATACATTTCTGACATTGTTCTGGTGACATTTGACAACAAGCCATGGTAATGTGGCAAAGTAAAAAGTAGCAACCTAGAATTTTTTTTTGTCTTTCAGAAAAGTTTGTGGGACTCGATAAAAACTAAGAGACCTTCAGAATGTCCTGTCCCAGCTAAGGGAAGGAAAACTGATTCTTCATTAAAGAAGTCTGCCAACAAAACATTCCATGTTTCTCGAAAAGTGCAGTATGTCAAGGAGAAGGGGCGAAGCCCACTTTCGTCATACAGTAATGCCCCGATAGTTGGAAGTACTCTTATGTCAAATCCTGCTGAGAGTCGATCAGGTCTTTCAGAAAAAGAGTCTTATTACACACCTGGCTCCTTGCAAAAATCTAAGACGTGTTCTGCACTGGACAAATCAAAGAGTAATGATTCCTTCCTTGATGACAAATCTGTTCCTCTTCCCAGGCCTACTTTTCTGGTGTCTGATTTTGATCATGTAGAAAGGTCTGACCATATAGAAACACGAACCTTTGAATGTTCGTCTCTTGTTCCCAGTACTAGTGATGTGAGAGTTGTCAGTGTACTGAATAGGACACACTCTCCTGTTTATACTCCAGATCGTGTTGTAAACCCACTTACACCACGAATCAACTCGAGACGAGCTCCAGACTCTTTTTTAAGAGAAGATGCTCCTGATGGAGGCCTCAAGTTTTCGCCAGTGACTCCAATCCTATCTGTTCAAGATGCATTGGCAATTATTCAATCTGATGTCACACATGGATGTGAGGAAGGTGATGTCCTGCCTGCGATGTGCTCAAGTTTTGATTTTTCAGATTCTTTGGATTTGTTGACGGACACTGAGGGATTTCTGTCTTCTAAACCTGCTGAACCACTAGCTCTTCCTGAGATTTCTTCAGATTTTGAGCCTGTCAAGGCAAGGTTAACCTTCTTTGTAAAATCCAAAACTGTCCATGAGCATGAATCGAAAGATGAAACGAAGCACGCTCGGGTAACTACAAAATCTAAGAAACACACATTTTTAGCTGAAACCGTTACCAAGAGCAGAAGCTGTTCCTCCCAAGAGAGCAAACCTGAACATGGGCGAAAAGCAAGTTCTAAACGGCTGCTTATGGACAAAACAGTGGAATTAATAGAGGATGAATGTGTGAAGCCAGTTTCAAGAGTATTCAAGGCTGTTAAATTCCAAAGCCTTCCTGTCATTGATTCTGATGTGAGTCTAGAAGCTCCAAATGCTTCTGGCCAATCTCAATCCCCGTTGGTGGTTGTCCAGTCAAATTTCTCTGCAGTTGTGTCTCACCAACATCTTTCTCCAGTGTTGGCTCCACTTAGTTTGACTTCAAATGTGGCTGAGGAGCCTGGTTTGTCTCCAATAGTCCCAACCAGAACCAGTGGCT